TGCACACAAGTTGCGCAACGCGCGCAGTGCACTCACAAAACGGGCAACAGGTCCACAGAAACTACCGGTATGCTTAGTCCTAACTTTAGTTACTGTACGTGAAAAAAAGGCAGACGGCGCTGGCGCTCAACACACACACAGACTCAAAACCATGGACACACTGGCAATATAAATTACATAACAATTTATAGGCCTAAATTGCATAAGCTACAGTATTGCAACTAAGCAGACAGCGCTGCCTGCTTCTTCTCTCTCTCTCATCTCTCTATCTCTATCTCCACTTTCAAAATCTATTTAAAACTCATACAAACAAAAATAATCCCAAAATTTGTCCTGAATTAACTTATCCTAAATAAACGAAACGAAAAATATAGCCTACTTATGCATACAACATTGGAATCTGGGACTGAAATTATTATGATGTAGGACCCTAGCCACATTGCAAATAAGTACGACAGCGCTGCTTTTTTCACACACACACACCTTGCGTTTTGAAGACTGATACACACACACACACACACACACACACACACACACAGTTTCTCTCTCTGTGAGAAACTTCGCTCCACAGGGTTCAATCACAGAGTTTTGATTCTCTCTCCCATGTTTGCCATTGCTGTACTAACAACTGACCTCTAACCTTGTGTTTCCAGCTGAGTGCCACTGAGCTAAGATTATAACCGGGGGATGGGTCACTTTCCCAGAAATATTGAAGCGCTAAAAAACTGCCTCAATGGTCAACTTCATTGAAATGAATTAAAAAGAGATAATATACAATAACAGGGTGTCCGCGGGGTCTTAAAAAGTAATAAAAGTTGATAAATCAATTTAGCGAAAATTAAGGCTATTAAAAAGTATTAAACGGCATTTTCCAAGGTATTAAGAAGGTTCACAGCAACGACAACATGAAACACCCTTTAATTTACTGAAACGACATGTCGGGAAACCCCACAAGGCGGCCCCATGCATAGCGCGCCGTAAAATGCTGCTTATTATTTTAAGTTTCGTTGCCTTGCTCCGCTCTGTGTGTGTGTGGGGGGGGGAGGGGAATAAACGACTACGGTAACGGGTCCCAAGGTGGGTAGACCGGCATACGCTACGCTCTGGAGGTCCAACGGCTCCGTGTGTGCCCTATATGATCATTTTCTGATAACGATAAAAGAGCCCGCCTCCCTCTCCCCACGTCTCCTGCTGCTGCTGGGCTGTCAGAAGAGGGGGAGAAAAAGAGAGGCAGTCACCGTTTATTAAATATTCTTATATTATTATACAGAGAACAGAGTCGTTATCAATTTGTTTTAAAGCTCAATAAATAACAAAGAAGACCTCTGACCGGCACTTTCCTAATTTTGTACGGAAGATTTAAACTTTAACGGACATGTTGACCGGCGGAACATTTTTTTACGGAAACTGCCGCACGGTCCCCTCGTTCCTTGGAAGAGGCGGAGAGGTGGATGTTTTTCCTCTGCTGGTGGACTACCTGAGAGATACAGCAGGAGAACACGCCGTCCACCGCGGAGAATAAAAAGAAGGGCAACCATGCTCCGGGGTCTTCTTCGCTGCTTTTGGTGTATTTCGGGCGGCAGCAGCGCCACTAACAGGCCTGACATATGTACTACATCGTTTCCAGCATTTCCAGCGGTCTAGTGTGAACGGAAACGTTAATGAATCGAATGCGTGTGTGAACGGAAGCCTTTTTTGCGCTTGCGTATGCGTTTTACCGTGTGGGGCCGAGGTCTAAGCCAAACTATATCCGGTCACAGAGATCTGCTATTTTAAAGTAAAGTCAACACATATAGACCCTAAATATAGTCTATATTAAGAACGAGAAAAGTCTTAACATATATATCCTTTTTTGTAAACATATGACAAATGTGTGAGGGTGATGACGTCAGAGCATCGTCTTATGTGCCAGGGCTTAGCCCCGGACAGCCCCAGCCCAATTTAACCCCTGGGTATTTGTGAGGGAGCTCCTATATGGCATTACCCCGCTGAAGCTCACCAAAGTTTAACATATTTCATAGTTCAAAGTTTTGTCAATTGTTTTGTTTATTGGTCAAATACTGGTTTCTAATGTTTTCTGAGGAGTTTTACTGGAATGAAAGAGCACAGAGTCTACAGAAGCAAAAAAGCAGCATACTGCATTAAACCTGACCTTCACAGAGAGGTTGAAGTTCATGTGGAAAGGAGGCTTCAGTAGTCTGTCTGCACTCTGTTTAGTTTTGCTATCTTACAATCAATATAGTAAATGTGAGGTAAAGTGTGTTGCCAATGTGACCGGTTAGAACTCAAAGTTGCGATGAGGTCTTAAAATGTATGGAAAGGGTCTTAAAAAAGGTCTTAAAAGGTATTACATTTGACTTCAGGATTCCTGCATATACCCTGAAACAGCAACATACACATTAATGTAAATAAATAGCCAAATAATCAATCAACGCTCTCTGTCTAATATGTTCGCTAGCTGTTAGTGTTGTTGCATAGCAACCACCTTGCACTATGTTTTGTGCAGAAGGCAACGGAGGGACTATTTTATTTTGAACATCATTATTTACGAATAAAAACTATNAATGTTTTCTTTTTCTGTTTATACACACACACACACACACACACACACACACACACACACACACACACACACACACACAGTTTCTCTCTCTGTGAGAAACTTCGGTTTCTCACAGAGAGAGAAACTGTGTGTGTGTGTGTGTGTGTGTGTGTGTGTGTGTGTGTGTGTGTGTGTGTGTGTGTATAAACAGAAAAAGAAAACATTGAAAAAGGGAAAGAATGAGGAAAAAAGTGATCTTGACAAGGGAAAACATAGCAAGAAGAAAAGACAGCCTACAAACTGGATGACTAAGTCACATCAGTGAACACAATATCAAGCTAGAAAAGATCAGGAGAAACACTGACAGGTTTATTGCAAGGTCCTTTTGCTGCATTAATGATGAGTGTTGTTATTTAAAGTCATCATGACAACTCAAATGGAAAGGCAATTAGTCAACTGCTGTCCTGCACAATAACAGTTTATTTTGGAGGCACACAGTGCAACAGGAAAGTAAACAGCATCAACAAACACTTGTGGAGAGGGACAGTTACAAAGCAAAATAGTTATAGAAAGAATGAATTTAAGCACTCAGTGAGTGACAGAGAGAGTGAGAAAGAGGTAGAGAATGTGTGAACAGATGGTTGTGACAGAGCAGATTTCACCCAGAAACACTAACATACTACATTTCACAGCCTGCATGTGTTAGGGTGCACTATTCATTTGGTTGTCCTCAAATAGCCAAGCAACTCACCCTTTATCTGTGGCCATTTTGGGTTTGTTCATTTTATCTACTTCAACATGTCATGTCGTCTGCAAGAAAAAATAAAATTAAGACATGCTGTACAATTTAAAACATTTGCATAATTAACCTGTGTGCCAGAACAGGTCCCACTTAACTCCTTTCTGTAACCCCAGGCTCTAGTCAGCCTCATCTATGCAAAGACAAGATAATGATCAACCTAAACTTCCCATAGCTGTGAATGTGTCTGTCCATATGTGTTAACCCTGGAACATGCTACAGCTGCAGAGATGGCTATACCATGACAGACTTTACTATCTGATACACAGAAGGTCCTGGCTGATTTAATACGAAACAAAGAGGCTGCCTTACATGCTGCAGATCTCAAATGTCTCGAGACAAAAGACCAGTAGTTGACAAGGTAATTTGAATAGGAGGTCTGAAAAAAGCTATGCTAAGCTTTTAGTTGCATTAAAAATATATATATGTGGGGTTTTTACTGAATGGAAAAAATCAGCATGGTTTAGCAGAGAATTTCATCAACAGTTCAGTGAATTTAATTGTCACAGGTTTCCAAAGAGATTAGAAGATGAGGTCAGACGGTCATACAGAAACGTTTATGGGATGTGATAAGATGAGTCATAAACAATGTTGCTGTTAAATGTTGAGATATTATTCGTCACTAGTGTTAGAAAAATATACAGTTGTTTTACATAGGTCAAACAAACCTATTTAAAAAGGTGCTAAGATGTATACTAATCAATACAATACATATAACTCTATAATCAGGTTTGTTTAAAATGTGCAGAGTCAGACTGCATAAGTCCACCACCCTTTCTTAAAACAGGAACAACCAGTTGACGTCCCGATGATCTTATGGGCTGAGAATCAGCAAGATCAGACCATAAAGAGACTAGGGATAATCAATTTGAAGCTTTCTCCAAAGCAATTGTAAAACTGATTTTTTTTGTTGGGAGGCCAGTTTATATAAGCCAGATGGTAACTCTCGTCACAAAACAAAATCAAATATCTCTTTAGAAAACATGATAAGCTATCGTTATAACACCAGCCCACAGGGACATTTTGGCATAGATGCTCTAATGGTCTCTGATTGGTCACTGTCATTAGGCTACTGTCAGCTAGTAAACAGATGTGCAAGGCTGTTTTACAAGATGCTAAGTTAGATAGGCTATATGAGGCTGCTAGTGTCCGCTGCACCTGCTGCACTAGTCAGTCATTAACGGCCGCCTGTCTGCGACAGCAGGCTAGCTAACGGATGAATATGCTAACAATAAAGCGTGCACACTGGCGATATTAGCGAAAGCACTAGGCCTGCATATAACTGTCAAAAAAGACGCGTTTACGAACCTGCATGTAAAGGAACTGCTGTCCCATTCAGGTTGAACCAATTCCAAGATAAGGGGGCCCGCTGCCGTATGTTTGTGTTGCCTGAAACGCCCTGATGATGTTGTGATGAGACCTGAGACCAGCCCCCACCAGCGACGGCTCCAACTGCCAGGGTCGGCTAACAACGCGAGAGTTCGTTTCTCTGCTTGGTTTTCAGCTAAAGCGCATGTATAAGACAAACACATCACAACTTTCACAAAAATGTAACATTTATATAGTTTTATATCTCTACTGGCAGTGTTTCAATTTATAAATCGTTCTTAAGGGGGCTTGAATAGCATTATAACAGATAAGGACTACATTCCCCAGCTTGACAGCGGCTGATGACGTTTAATGTATGCGCCGCTCTGTACAGTCGCTGAAGAGATCTTTTTAGCTACATGGTTAACACACAACAATAAGGTACGTTCTCGTTTACAATAACTGTCTTTATAATATCAGTGCACTTGTTTTGTATACATAATACAACGGAATAACGTGCTAAACTGATGATATCTCTGCACTGTTCATAAGAAACATCCACTGTGGGGAACATTAGCTTGCTAGCACACGGTATTTCTAGATACTTTCCGTCGTTATTGTACTCATTAAAGTGTTGTTGATAATGTTGAGAAATAAGCGGACAGATTGTTACTCTCGTGTATATTTTTTGTAGCTAGCGAAGTTATGTTTGCTATCAACCAGATGCCTCCAATGTAACAATAAAGAAAATGAATCAATATCTTCTGTGACCTGTAATTACTCTACCTACAATGATGAGGTCAAACAACTTGCAGTGTGTTCATAGTAGCCCCTACCCTAGCTCATTTAGTACACCTTAATTAAAATGTTATTTTTGCTTATATGTGATGGTGGTTGTAAAAACATTATTATGTAAATAAAAATCAGTCATAGAGTAATGGGTGTTTTTGAACTCCCTACTTAGCCATCATAGTACTTCCTAACATGTTATTGGTTTAAATTGCTGATACTTTTCACTGCACTCAAGCGTGCCATTTACACTTTATTAGGCTGCAATTTAAGACCGTCCTGTCAGTTCTCAGAGCCTAATGTTATAATAATAATAATGCCTGTTCAGCTTTATAGGAGCAGAAGCATGAACATAAAGAGTCATTTAAGTCTGTTCTGATATTTATTTATTTATGTCATTACAGGCAAAACAATTGATGTTGGCTTTAATATGTGAATATGTTTAAAGGGGGACCAGCCAAGTGTTTGCCATCTAACCTTTAAAATGTCCAGTAGAGAACGTCAATGAATGTAGTAAACGACTATATGGATGCAAATGTGTGTTTTTTAGATTATGTTTAGTATGTATGGAAAGCAACAATGCTATGTTAAGGCTCTGAAATGGCTCTTCATTTCAGTGTGGCACTTGATTTGAGCCAATCATCCATTGAACTTTTTGTTCTATATCTCTTTTCTTCTCTTAAGTAGTCACCATGGTGATGAAGTCAGCAATTGAGGATGATGATGCCGGCTGGGGGCTCGGCATCCCAGAAAAGATGAAGAACAATGCCAACTGGGTGGATATTACACATGAATTCAAGGGCGCATGTAAAGGTACAAGTTCCGATGGTAATTGTTTGTGTGTTGTATGTATGCAGTTGTGAAAGGAACTGACTTGCCCACCTGTTTTATTTATGCAGAGTTGAACCTTGGAGAGTTGCTTCATGACAAACTGTGAGTAGGACCAATTGTTTTTTTGCCTGTCACAAAAAGTTGGCTCAGAAAACACTTTAGACATACCACTGCATGCTTGCCCTCCCAATTAAATCTAACATATTTTTAGAAGGAGTTTTTTTCTCCTCCTGAAGTCTGAATACTGTTTCAGAGACTTCATAGCATTGACCACATTAATAGCAATAGAGAGAGACGTGTCACACACAAACAGTGATAACAACAAAACATGGAATTCAGTACATTTCTTCAAAGGAAGAGTTTGAATTTCCCATTTTATTTATGCTCCAGCTATTGAATCTGTAGGATTTGTTGAACCTTTGTGCACATACAAAACAGACACTAAATGTATTGTCTATGGTGACAGGTTTGGCCTTTTTGAGGCCATGTCAGCCATAGAGATGATGGATCCTAAGATGGACGCAGGAATGATTGGAAACCAGGTCAACAGGAAAGTGCTCAACTTCGAACAAGCTATCAAGGTACGGTACCGCTGACCTCTCACGGCTGTGTAATTACAATAAGAATTAAGACATAAAGCGAGATTAAATGTACAACTCTGTTTGCATGTTCTACTTTGAATATTTATATTTGTTTTAAATAAACAATCAACCACCTAGGTCAAAGTCATTTGTATTGCTCTCTTGTATTTGTTCTAGGAAGGAGCCATTAAGGTGAAAGACCTTAGTCTTCCTGAACTCATCGGGATCATAGACACATCTTTCTGCTGTTTGGTGAGTTTCTCTTTTTCTAAACATTGGGGGATTTTCTGTGAATGTAAAAGCTTTTAATTTTTCTGATGTTGTGTTTAGAGTAACTCCCCTCCACATACCCACAAACAAAAAGTGGCTTACGGGTTAATGTTTTATTCATTGGCACCGATGAAGTCATTCTTTATGAAATGTTGTTGAATTTCGAGAGATGTAGTGCACAAAAGAAATCTGTGGATTCGATATAATGTCAAATATATATTTGTCATTCTACATGAAAATACTCAAATGAAAATATAATGAATTAATGACCACCAAATCTCACAGTTTATAGCAAACTTTAATCTTTTGAACTGATAAACAATGAAGTGATTAAAAAGTCAGGAAAGCCTTATGACATTATATATCCATTTAAGCCCATTGTATTGTAGATCAGCAGCACTGCAGGAAACCCTGTACTCATGTGTGCATGTCTGCGTGTATTCCTAGATCACATGGCTGGAGGGCCACTCACTGGCGCAGACTGTGTTCACCTGTCTGTACGTCCATAACCCCGACCTGATCGAGGAGCCCGCCCTCAAAGCCTTCGCCCTGGGCATCCTGAAGGTGTGTGACATCGCCCGAGAGAAGGTCAACAAGGCTGCTGTGTTCGAGGAGGTAAGCAACTTTCTGACTTCCTGCCATTTTACCAGAATGTGGAAATGTTTGAGTTATTGGCTTTTACAAGTTAATCTGTCTTTTAATACGTTTCTGCTTTGCCTTCTATTGTATATTTGTAATATATTGAACAGTGTTAAAGTTGCAATTGAATGATGAGTCAGTGTCGTATTAATAAGCAACAATACTAATTGACTTTGTATCTATTTTGTAGGAGGATTTCCAGGCCATGACCTATGGTTTCAAGATGGCCAATAATGTCACAGACCTGCGGGTGACAGGTAAGAGTAAAGTGTTGTAGTAGATCATTAAGTCAACAGCTCCACTTATAATGATCTCATTGCAACATTGAACTGTTGGTGAGTTAAAAACTAATCCCTCTCTTGTTTGTTTTCTTCCCAGGTATGCTGAAAGATGTGGAGGATGAGTTACAGAGGAAAGTTAAGGTATTTGTTTTCAGCCAGTTTAATCCAAACTCATTTCCATTTGAATATTGCTGAGAAGAATGCTAGAGTATTATAGTATTAAGAGTAATATATTGGTTTCTCCCTTTCTGCTTTAGAGCACACGCACCCGTCAGGGTGAGCAGCGGGACCCTGAGGTTGAGCGAGAGGTACGTTTTTCTTTTAAATGTTACATTACATCATCTGAAAACTCAAAACGTGTTGTTTCAAACCCATGTGGTTGCAGTTTCCACATAAATTGCATATGACTACAAGTTGAAATTCAGAATATGTCTCTGCTCTTGATTAGTTTAGCCTAGTATTCCAACATTTCAGACACAAAGTAAACCTATAACCCTCCCTCTTAATCTATGCCTGTTATATTTCCTTTTCTTTATACTGTCCATCAGAGTGTGTCAGGGTGGGTACTAGATTGGTTCTGGGTGGTCAAAATATAACTAAATGCCAGCCTTTGTCATTCTTTGTGCCTTGTAAAGCTTCAAAGACAAGCTAGAAATATGTTCATTGATAGTGTTGCATGTACGCATGAGCCTGTTTGAAGGTTCTCTCTTTTTTTTCCAGCATCAACAGTATTTGGCCCTTTTCAATAGAATCAAGTTTACACGCCTTCTACTGACTGCACTCATCACCTTTACCAAGAAAGAGGTAATACACACACACAATATGTAAGTTAATGACTATCACGTGGTTTATAAATGTTGTTCTGCGTAGTAGCATTGAAGAGGATTGTAATAACTTGTATGTTTAGTTGGTCATTTTCTTCTTTTGTAAAGTGAGTTTTTGCTTACCGTTGTATCTTTATCAGACCAGTTCGGTAGGCGAGGCCCAGAAGCTTGTGGTTCAGGCAGCTGACCTCTTATCAGCCATTCATTGCAGTATTCAGCACGGTATCCAGTCCCAGAATGACACTACCAAAGGAGGTAACACGCACGCACGCACGCACGCACGCACGCACGCACGCACGCACGCACACACACACACACACACACACACACACACATACGTACGTGTGTCTCTTCTCTACCTTAACCCATCTCCACACAGAGCTACGTGTTTGTTAAAAATGTCTACTTCCACTCAAAATAGCTGAGGCAGCCTCTAAGGGAAGATCTTTTCTTAATGTGTTTTCCCTTTGTTCTGTTTTGCTTGTGTCTACATCAGACCACCCCATCATGATGGGTTTTGAGCCCCTGGTCAACCAGAGACTGCTCCCGCCTACCTTTCCTCGCTACGCCAAGATCATCAAGAGGGAGGACATGGTGGCGTACTTCAGCAAACTCATAGACCGTATCAAGACCGTGTGTGACGTGATCAGCACCACCAACCTGCACGGCATATTGGTGAAGCCTTTTTTGTGTTTGTTGGATTGCTTATGTAGTTTCAAATTAAATGCTATCTGGTTTTTTCAGTGTTCATCATTCTATATATGTACATGCTTTGAAGGACATTATATTTGATCTAAGCATTCATTCAAAATGTACCAAAATATTTTCTGTCTTTTATTTTCAGGACTTCTTCTGTGAGTTCAGTGAGCAGTCTCCCTGTGTGCTCTCCAGGTCTCTACTCCAGGTGACTGAATCATTACTTTTTGTCTTTTTCCGACAGAGAGATGCATTGACACTTGCACACAGTTTTTGTAGTTTGTATACTTGTACACAATTAATAGAAACCTTAAGATACTAATATACAACCATAAAGTAAAAACACATCAGTCTATGAGAACTAACATGATTGTTTTTCTAAATCCAGACAACGTTCCTGATTGATAATAAGAAAGTATTTGGGACGCACCTGATGCAGGATATGATTAAAGATGCTCTGAGATACTTCGTCAGCCCTCCTGTCCTCTCCTACAAGTAAGTCTGTCATTGGTAGAGTGATTAGACCTTTGACATGCGAGTCGTTTAATGTCATTTATTTTCAAGCTTTCCTTTGCCCCAGGATGATCTGCCTCAAGCTTATTTGCCTTATTGTCTCTCTCCAGGTGTTGTCTGTTTAACAACCACCAGGCAAAGGATTACATCGACTCCTTTGTAACGCACTGCTCCAGGGTATGTTACCTTCACTGTTCAAAGCAGTAGTATAAGAGGCTTCTACTTCTGAATACATTTGTTTCAGTCGTCAAATCAAAGGGAATGATTTAGGAGGAGAGGTGTGTAATTGATCACAGTTTAATGACCGCTGCTGTAAAGAAAAGGACACAGGTCATTTATGCTATGATATAACTTCTAGCTATTTTGGAAGTTGGTTGTAACACTGAAGGATAGGCAAATGTATCACCAGCCCCATGATATAAATAAGCAGGATGTGAAGCTGTGTGTTTATTCATTGATTGTTGTTTTGTCAATTTTCCCTGCAGCCGTTCTGCAGTCTGATCCAGATCCACGGCCACAACCGCGCCCGACAGAGAGATAAGCTGGGCCACATTCTGGAGGAGTTTGCTACTCTGCAGGACGAGGTGAAGGGCCGCTGTTTTCTCTTTAGTATTCGCCTTCATTCCTTTATTTTAACGATACTTTAACAAGACACCGCCGTAGAGTGCCACGTCCTAAAACCCGGAAGTAAGTTAGCATTTTACTACTTCCGGTTCCTTCGACAAAAAAGCAATGCTATCTCTCCATAGGATTTTGGAAAATAGCTGGAAATAAGGTCTGTGGTTGACACACATTTAAGAGACAGATCACGTTTTGTTCTACGACATTAAATCCATCAGCAGTGACCCCACTGGGGATTTTTGAAGAGTTTACGTGTCTGAAAAACGATGGTTGAATAGGAACAGAAGTTGTCGAGGCCGTTGTACGTCATTACACCGAACACGTAAACACTCCCGCTAAGTTTGTTTTTCCCTGTTCTGCTTGAAAGCAAGTACCTGCCTCCTGCAAACTGTTCAAACAAACGCTTCAACATTTGAATTTTTTTTTAATCTGTAGTTTTGAATATGGATCTTAAGTTGCGTGACGTTGAAGCAGCGACCCTGCTGTAGTTCGTTTATAGCATAACGTTAGCATTTAGCTTCTGGCGACTAGATTTATGATTCGAAAATTATAAAAGTAGGGTAGGAATGTGGATATTATCCGGCTGAACAAAACGTCTCTTAAATGTGTGTAAACCACAGACCTTATTTCCAGCTATTTTCCAAAATCCTATGGAGAAATTGCATTGCATTTTTGTCGAAGGAACCGGAAGGAGTTTACTTCTGGGTTTTAGGACGCGTCACTGTGGCACTCTATTGCATTTGTGCCACACAAGTCAGGCATTGACACTGTACCTACGCTGATGTTGTAAGTTATAACCCTACTAATCCATTCTTCTTCCTTCAGGCAGAGAAAGTGGATGCAGCGCTGCACAGCTTGCTGATGAAGCTGGAGCCCCAGCGGCAGCATCTAGCCTGTCTGGGTACCTGGATCCTCTACCACAATCTGAGGATCATGGTCCAATACCTGCTCAGCGGCTTTGAACTGGAGCTGTACAGCATGCATGAGTACTACTACATCTACTGGTGAGAGAATACTTTATTAGCTGGTACCTCTAGAATCTCTCTACAGCATGCACAGGTGCACTTTGAACCCCTGAGGTTTAATAAGTGTGTGTTTCCATCTGTAGGTACCTGTCTGAGTTCCTTTACGCGTGGCTGATGTCCACTCTGAGCAGAGCGGACTCCTCTCAGATGGCTGAGGAGAGGCTTTTAGAGGAGCAGGTGAAGGGACGCAGCAGCAAAAAGATCAAGAAGAAGAAAAAAGGTAAGCTCTACTGTAGCCTGAAGTTTGTTCTCAGAGTACGATTAAAATAGATAGATAAATACGTTATTGATCCACATTTTTGAAATTATTTTGTTACAGAAGGAGCATCACTGTGTTCAGACATACAATTAAAATTAATTAAATAGTGGAGCAGAGAATTTACAAAAAAAAAAGAAAAATAGTATATCAAATATAAACAGTATAACATCTCTTAACTATTAACTATATTAACCAAACATATTTGCACATTTTAAATGAACAAGTGTGATTTTCCTGTAGTGAAGCTGCTTGTCTTATAATGAATGTAAGTCTTGTTTTCCTCTGCAGTTCGCCCTCTGAGCAAAGAGATCACCATGAGCCAAGCGTACCAGAACATGTGTGCTGGCATGTATAAGGTAGGACATCGGCACTGCATTTTGACCCCTCAACTCCTTTCTCCACACCCTGCAGTAACACCCGACCTCTGTGCCTCTCCTCAGACCATGGTAGCTCTGGATATGGACGGGAAGGTTCAAAAGCCTCAGTTCGAGCTGGACAGCGAGCAGGTTCGCTACGAGCATCGCTTCGCCCCCTTCAACAGCGTGGTCACCCCCCCACCTGTGCACTACATCCAGTTTAAGGTACTTGGTTGGTGTTGATGCACTTCATCCAGCAGGCTCTCATTTTCTGTCCCCCTTACTTCAAACACATTTGTATTGTTCTTTCTCCTTAACACTTCTTTTGGTGTGTCCCCTTTTCGTCTTAATATTCGCATAACCCTTCCTTTTTTCCCCCTTGATTTACTTTTGATTCCCTTTGTCGGTCTTGCACTTTCGTCTTTTTCCGTGCGTCTCTCTCTGACTTTTCCCTTCTTGTGTTTTTCAGGAGATGTCTGATCTCAAGAAGTACAATCCTCCGCCTGGCTCCACGGACCTTTACATGGCCGCCAGCAAACACTTCCAGCAGGCCAAGCTCATCCTAGAAAATGTGCCCAGCCCAGACCCTGAGGTCAGTAAAACAATCAAACTTCTGAGAGGAAAACCAGTTTGTGTTGTTAGTTTCCCCACATTCTTAAACATATAAGTAATTCTTAAAATGTATACCTGAAAATATGTTCTACTCCAGATACATTTTTTTAGGGGTAAAAAAACTCCAGTTTTTTTTTACTTTTCTCAACTATCAATAACCAGTAATTGATTGACTACAGGTGATCCGAATACTGAAGGTGGCCAAACCCAACATTGTAGTTACGAAGCTCCTGGCTGGGGGGCACAAGAAGGACGCCAAGGTAACAAACTATTCACATTCCCTGGTTCTTTGGATTTAAATTGTGTTTACTCTAGGTGCATTGTGATAGGTTGATCTTAATGGTGGTCAATGTTGTATATTGTAAAAACGTTGTTCCTTTTTGCTTCCCCAGGTGCTCCCAGAATTTGACTTCTCTGCCCACAAATACTTTCCTGTGGTCAAGATCATCTGATTCTGCACTACGGGATGAATATGAAGAGCGTCACCTTAAAGATCATCAGCCACAAAGACTGAACCCTCACCTGTATGTGTGAAAAAGCCCTGCTCCAGTCCATGTCTGAACAATGTGTGTGTGTGTGATACACCCTACTGTAAAACTGTGATGGAGTGTTCGATACACCCGATTCTTTTTTTTCACACGAATGAGAGATGAAACCAGAACAGAGAAAAATCACAACTGGACTGAAATGACTGCATCATCTTTTTCTATGCTGCCTCCATAACAGTTTTGTGAAGTGCACATCATTGGATCGCATGAACCCTTCCTATGTATTTATGTGCTTATCTGAATGAAATGGTTGAGTGTGAAAGGACTACCGTATCCTGTTTTCTTTTGTACCACGCTCGCTACATGCAAGTACTAGATAGGCATCAGTTCAAATTGTAAAACAGACAGGAGATACAGCAGAGAAGAACCCCTCAAAATTGTTATAATTGTGTCAAGCATAGTAACGTTGCAACACACAAAAGATCTGAATATCACGTTTACAGTAACGGGAGACCATATTTTTGGGGAATATTGAAATATGTCCTATGTCAAAACCTAATTTCCCTATTTCTGTGTTTTTAGTTTTCATCTTAGAAAATCCAACATATCTTTCTAATTCAGACATTACATTTATTATATTAATTAAAGGGAACATTAACAAACACAAACATTTGAAGACCCTGCCAAAATATATGGTCCAAAAATAATAATGATTTGCTTATCTCTCTTTGGCAACAGTTTTTTTTTTCTATACGAGAACCACTAGCCTCATTATTTAGTTGTGAAAACTGTAGTGTTTACTGATGCATTTTTGGTATTACTGCCATGTACACAGGTTAAGTATACATGTGATTGAACTTTTTTATGTTCATATTACAAATATGCTTACAATAAATCCCTCTTAAAACCATGTCTCGGTAGTGGTTGATCGATCATCAATGAAGTCTTTGATTTAAACCATTCACAAATGTGTTAAACATTCAGAATAAACAAAAATAAAAGCAAATTCATCTGCAAAAAAACAAAAAAGTCAATCCAATTTATAAAAATCAAGAATGTATTTTGGCTCCAGAAAGGAAATTGGACATTTCAAAAAAAAAAAAAAAACAGGCAGACATTATCTGACAAATCAAAGTATTGGATGTAAAAAAAAATTGCTGTTTCAGATAGCAACCTCAAAAGACACTTCCACATAAATTAGATTTCACCAGTGGTCTGACCAGGAGTGTTGATGTGCGACAGGTTTGGACGCTCTCCGTTACAAAGTGTTTCCAATAATCTGCCGCAGGCTAAAAAACAAAATAAGAACTTCCCCACACTAAGCCTCGACGCCTCCTTAGCAAAAAACACAATATGTAAAATGAATGATATTTACGCACTAGCCCACACATGAACTCTAACACAGTTATCAAGTTATTAAAAGGCTTCAACCTTACTAAAAATATGTGTTACTTGGGTTGGGTGTTGCAAGGAAGACCTGTTTTTTAACAGCTTTTTAATTTAAAACATAACATAAAACTGATATTTTCTTTTCTGCAAAGCTGCCCTTGGATTTAAGTCTTACAAATAATGAACAATATATGTATATGCTTAGAATTATCTTATTCTAAACAATAAAATAAGTAATAAGTCAACCCCCCCCATCAATGTTTTATAGTGATGGAACATTTTGCCGGGAATAATTCATTAGCTATCTACTGAAGGACTTTGTACTGAAATGTCCTTCCCAATACATTAGAGAATTTATCGTTTCAAACATAACAAACGCATTTAGTTTTAAATAACTGTCAAGTCCTCAAATGTATATTTATAAAATATATATAAAAACTGAATGACACCATCTTATCTTAATATTTGGTGAGACGCTAAATATGTTAATAATGTGCTTTTGCTTTCAACATAAAAAGTTTCCAAAACATCTGCATCATTTTAGGACATGTTTATTGTTCATGGGGATCATGCGGTCAACAATGTCCAATATGTATATTCTTCATTATGCATTTCATCAAAGCTAATCATCATTCATTCAAGACCAGGATTTGTTTTTATGGCTAAACCTTTACATTCATATGGAAACGAAAGGTATTATGAACTTTATCATTCTGAGCCATTAAGCCATTATTTAGCATGTGTGTGAAAACGTTAGGATTGTGACTTGTATATAAAATAGTTTTTTGGAGGTTCAAGACATTGGAAATACTTCAATAGACTGTGAATAAGTCAAAGCATGATAGAGTGGGGGTATTTAGAAACACCATTCAAATTAAATACCTGGAAAAAAGGTCTTTCAAATTAAGTAAAATCCTCCGTCCTGTATAAAACACAAGGCAATAAAAGATCCCGCCACACAATTTTACTTTTTGTTAATTTCTGATACCTATGTTCATGTTTTCACTCACAAACACACTTTCCAGTCAAATACAGTTTTCAGTTGATTAGACTTATACATTTTAAAAATGCTTAACGGTTTTTCTTTTTTACAACTGATGGATAATAGGAGCCCCAAAGCAAAACACAATTTCCCTCCTTCAAAGAAATGTGCTTCCCACAAAATAGTCCATTCAGTTCAACAGAGGCAGTATCCACAGCGTAAAGGTGCAAACTCAGTTATCATACTGAGTCTCTCAATTAGACCTCAATTGCGTCAGAAGCAACTGGACATCGGAAAAATAATGCTGTACGCACAATCAATAAGGCATGAGACAATAATGTACAGATGTTTCAAATAACTCGCTTCATTATTATCTGTTTTTTCTAAATGATCCCAGATGTTGATCCCAAATGCAATCAAGCGACAATCTAGACATGATTTCTCATAGATCGAAAATGTCCTGTTACACATTACTTGAAAAGCCGCTGCCTCATAATGACACAGATATACTCAGCAGTCCAACTAGAATCTCAGCACTCTCCTTCATTTGCTACAGTTATGGAAAACCTCATTTGCGTTCTCTGACAGACCTTTTGTTAAATAACATATTCCAGCCATTGACCCGTAGTCAGCGAATTACAGTACAATAATACACACCTTATGGCCCTTTAAGGGTCTGCACACCGTCATCACATTTGTGTCATCATTCAAGTTACAGTCATTATGGAGTGAACATAATAAACACATCTAATCACATGGTCAAAGCCTAGTAATTCCCAGCGATGTTGAAATGTTCAATCTTTCCAAGTCAAGTCTTGAAATGTCTTAAATAGCGCTTAACCAACACCAGGAGCTGAGTAAGCGGTAGTACTTAGAAGTACTGGGTACTTTCATATTACTTTTTCATACTGAAATCAATGTGAGCACAATCATCACAATAAAAACACCATGGGGTTACATGCATACAGTGAATGATAGCAATTAGAAACCATAATTGTACATGTTTGGCTGAAATTTGCATATTTCAGATTTGAACATGAAGTCTTAAATATGCTTACTCTGATACAGAAAACTTGCAAGCTATAAAAGGACAATTATAATTAAATAAATTGTACATAATCGTTTTAGAGATGAAAAATTAAAAAAAACATTCCAAAAAGCAAATTATTCTTTAAATCAATCAAAACTAAAGTCCAAAGTCTTTCCTATAAAGATGTTCCTCTGGTTTTGTTTGTGCCCACTGTGTTCGGAGAACCTGTCTGCTGCTGTGTTGCTGAGGTGTTTGATGTGCAAGCTCCTTCTCCAACTCTGTGGGAAACAAAATATTTGTAAAAATAACAAATACTGTGTTAGTGTGTTTATAGTTTAATGATATGTGACCCGCTCTATCGAAATCATTCGGAAGTCGCAACGGCCCATTTCAAAATAAACGTGGATTTGCGTAACAAACAATTTTTTCGGGGTTCGGGTGTTTTGTTTGATTTTAAACAAACAAAGTCTTGGCTTTCAGAATATAAAACTTTTATTTCCAAACTCACACGATAAATACATTCTTTAAGCTTGTAAAGGGAAGATGAAAGGCAATCTGCTCTTCCCCCCTCCCTCCGGCTGACATTATGAATGTAAGCGTAGAGTAATCATAAATAACACGGCAGGGTCCGTTACAGTTTGTTTTCATCTGATTTCAATTAAACAAAGTCTTGGCTTTCAGAATATTAAACTTTTTTTAGCAAATTTAGATGATAAATACAACTTTGAAGCTTGTAACGGCATAACTACAAGCGGAGAACGGAGTAATGTAACGTCACAGCAGGCATAACAACAGCCGGTGTTTCTCGTGAGGGTTTTCCCCGGGAAACAAACGCAATACACACAAACGCAAAATACACAAACACACACACACGTATACACACACACTCGCACACACTCGCGAGCTTCCACCAGACCAGTAATCCAAACGAAAATATCTTCCCTCTCTAGTATTTTGATCATTTGCTAATAATCAATCAGATCGATGGATTCCAGAGAAGAGGAAACTTTGAAGGCCTTTTTCTCAAAATGATGACTCAGTGATAGTCATTATATAATGTGACATATTTCGCTTAATATTTGGAGTACAAAAACAATCCAGGTATCATTAGAAAGCTAGGAATATCTCTTTCCAGCAGTGTATACAACTCAAAATGTGTCTTCGGGTCAATGCGACTGATTTCGATAGAGCAGGTCACTTATAGCTGTATAATTGGCAGGCCTATCAAAAGTAAATGCAACAGAGTACACAAAGCATTACGAATATCCAACGGTAAACTCTGTGTTAAAAATAGAGACAGCTGAACTGGAAAGCAGAAACTGGAATATTTTCTTAAGTGACATTCGGCAGGGAAAATGAACATACAGCATTAATATGTAGTGTTCCCATCAATCATCTGTTTGTTAAATCTCTGAAAATAAAGTTAGAACTAACCCTCTCACTAGTTTTCAACACAACTATGTCACTCAGAAGTGAAAGTGACACGACCATGATGAACAGTTTCTCAATCTGCTCTTAGAGACCACTGAACTAATGTCTGAGCTAAAACTTCATATAAAGTCTGATATTGTCACTGTGAGTCTGTGTTATTAATAATAATCTAGTGACTTTCATGAAGGAAGCCACCGTGTATGCCTCAGTTCATACCTTAGATCTGGGCGAGCTCAGCCTGTTTGTCTGCTTCAAACTCGCCTTCGTTCTCCTCGTCTCCGTTATAGTCAGCCAGCTCCTCCTCCATGTCTTTGTCTATCAGAAAGTACAATGTGCTTAGCAACATGAAACGTTGTATTCCTGCTCTCTCCTGCTACACACACTAACACAACTTTATGTCACATACCTATATTTTCAGCTAGTTTACTCCGCTGTTGTTTCTCCAAATCGACTCCGCCCACCACCTGCTCGTCTGCGTCATAATCTTCTGGCTCCTCAGGTTTCTGACTGAGAGGAGCGTCCTCTACCTTCACCCGGCTCATCAGCATGCCCATGTCCATCACAGGGTCTGCCTCTGGAGACGTGAGCAAATTGTTGGTTAATTTCCTTAAATGTCAATAGAAATAAAAAAACTAGTGCTTTTAGTGACCAAGGCCTTGTACCTTCAGTCTGAGTGTCCTCTCCATGGACGTCCATCACCTCCATCTCTTTGTCCTCTGTCAGGTTGTTCTTTACAGGCTCACTGGTCTCTGCCTCCCCCTCCTGAGGTAGCACAGCTCCCTCTGGTGGTAGCAAAGTTTCCTGCTTGACTGCAGCCGCCGAGAGGACGGACTGCGAATCTATTTTGGAGAGATCTTTTCCTGTAAGCAGGTCTACTGGGGTATTAGGACCTAGGAAATAAGCAAGTAGTATGTGAGGATGTAGACTTGTAATTTAAAATCAGTCTATGTAAACAGATACAAAATGCATTGAATGTACAACATACACATTCAGTACGTATATATTAGTGTCATTGCATTTGAGTTCCATTTCAGTTAACTTCACTGAAGTGTCATGACATCTGTGTTTGTTACCTTTG